GAAAAGGTCATACTTCAGCGATTAGCCTTACACACGCTGTTCAGTAGGGTCGAAGACGGAATATCCCTGGTGGCACAAACGTAACACTAAACGTAGCAACCTAGACATAAACTGGACAGATGTCCACTTCAGGTATTAATGCATTGCTTGCAGCTAAATGCATTTAGTTTGACATTTGTTAATAAATTAATAGTTGATATGTATTATATTTGCTATTATTTGACCATAACCCCAGCGGTTTAAATGCATCTGCAGGTCTTTTTATTTGGCCGTTTTCGGTTTCGTAACATTGGTCGCTGATACTGCTTCGTTCTGCGCTATTGTCTAGCTTCCTTGAAATTGCGTTATCGCAGGTGTACTTATCAGGTTTTTTGGTTAAACTTTGTTTGACACGTAGGTATTCCTTTTCAGCATGTCACGTCGACAAAGTTATCAATTAACTGCACAGTTTCCGTCTCGTAGCAACGTTTACCGTGCAGCGAAAAGAACGAACTCATGATTCAGCTACGAAGAGGTGCTTCTGTTGTCAGAAGCTAAACGACAGAAGGGTAAGAGCATCTTTAACATATCTTAAATATGATTGCTTACACATTTCAGCCACCTGCACACGTTATCAACCGCAGTGAAGATGACAGGGACCCCGATGAATTGGTACATAACTTGGGAAAATTGATTGCAAAATCTCAAGTACCTGCGTCTTTTGTTCGTCCACTGCTGTGCCTTGTGCAGCCGTGGACGCCATTTTTGCCAAAGCATTACCGGACGCTGATGCCAACCCCACGGACCTCTCGCATTCGCTTTGTTTCACCGGGAACTTGCGGTCACGTAGGTCTACTGAGAGGTTTACAGCGTGCATGCTCCGCTATTTCGCTCGCCGCTGATGACACTGTTGACTATCAGTTGCATATTGACGGGTTTAAACCTTTTAATGCATTCAAGATGCATGTATGGCCAAGCTTGTGCCGTGTCATAAAGCCAGTGATCACGAAGCCATTCATTGTTGGTGTTTATGGTGGGACCTCGAAGCCGAATGACGTGGACGATTACTTGTACGACACAATTAATGAGATACGTACTTTGCAACGCCAAGGATTATTCAAGCTTAAAGCCGTTATCTGTGATACCCCTGCACGCGCGTATGTAAAAAGAAAAAAAGAACATTCGGGTTATTACAGCTGTGACAAATGCACCCAACGTGGTGAGTATATGAGCCGCAAGGTAACGTACCCACTTACTGATAGCACACTACGGACTAATGCATCCGTTCGAAGGTATGATAGCCAACCGTCGCCTTTTGCTGCTTTGAATGTCGGTTTGGTTGAGGACTTCCCAATTTACTGTATGCATTCAGTATGTTTGGGTGTTATGCGCAGAATAATAAAAGACTGGCTTACTTCGCCCGTGGACAGTGGATTTCGACTGCGCAGAGAGCGACTGATTTTATCAAACGAACGGTTGCATGAGTTCGATCACTGGATGAATACCGATCTTGGAAGGCAAGTGAGTTGCGTCAGTTTTTGCTATACGCCGGACCAGCTTGTTTAATTGGGGTATTGCCTGACGCTTTCTATCAAAACTTTCTAGATCTCTCATTTGCTATTTATATCATGTGCCACCCTCACCTTCACACTGCCTTATTTGATTTCCTTGTTCCTTTAATTCATGTATTTTTACATGATTACTTTGATCTTTATGGTCCCAGTGAGATGACGTGGAACGTACACTCACTGGTTCATCTTCCCGCTGACGTACGAAAGATGGGGACTCTAGACAGCTTCTCAGCATTTTCCTTCGAGCCTCACTTGTTTTGCATCAAGCGCATGATTCACAATTCCCCGCGTCCGGTTGCTCTAATCATGCGGCGTACGTCGGAAGAGGAACAGCTTCCTCCTACTTCCAGCAACGCAAGCACGGTTGGGAATGTAGAGGTATGCACATATAAGGGTCAGAAGGCGTTTTGGTTGCACGGCATTTTGTTTTCCACTGTGAAGCCGGATAACGTGGTCATCATCGATGCCAAACCCAGAGTACCGACAGATGTGTCTGTGAATGTGTCCGGGAACATTGTAGTGCAATGCCGGGAATTTATGAATCTCCGTAGTCTGTTCACGCATAGCATGGATTCCTCAACGGCGTACATCTTCCGTGCATCGCAGTTGTCAACTGCGGTATGTACCTTCTCTGTCTGTCATATTCCATATAAGTGCATTGCTCTACCCTTGAATGATTTCCTTGTAATTTACCCTATGCCACACAGTTATACACTTTAACTACTAACGTCTTTCTTTTTCAGCAATGATGGCTTTTCAAGGATACAGCGTTGTCTAACTCCTTGACTCCGAGGATTTAATAAATATTGTTAGTAACATTTGGCTTAGAGAAGAAGGTTCGTACGCTCAAATACCTTCAGTGCGGGGTACGCACTACTATGCAGCGGTGAAAAATCACACTGCGCCGGATGTCGATGTGGTCAGCACTGCCGTGTCCATAATCGTTAGCACTATTAAGTACTTCTCTTATATTAACCCACCTCGTTAGTTAGCTTCCAGCATGCCCGAGAAATGGAACGGCAATCTGAGCGCGGGATGCTGCCATCGACAGACGATACAATTCCCATGGGCCTTCCAGCTAAGCGTGCACTGTGAGTATTGTGTTTTTTATTTCCCCTTAGACGCCGGCTCGTCCGTTCTAGCTCCGATGACGAGGATGCCGCGCGTCCAAGCAAACCCAAAATGCCTTCTGCAGCAACCTACGCACGTGCGCCCTCCTCTCTGTTCAGTGGCATTAGTCCGTCACGTCCAGGACCATCAACAAGCAACCGTAAGTATCGATTTCATACTGCCCCTATTAAACAGTAATCGCGCCCCCGGTTATTGCTGACGTCCCACCAAGCAATCCGGATGTGCTGCACGAACTGCAGGCCATAAAATGTAAGACGCCACAGATGTATTGCATTGCACTCCGCCTTATTTTTAGATGAGTTGTGTCTCTTTCGATCAGAATTGGTCGGCCATCGCCGCATGTCCGAAGCGATGTTGCAAATGCTACAACGACAATCCCAAAGTGTTGCGCCGGGACTATCTCTGCCATTCATCTCTCCCAGTGAGCTAAAGAGATATGATGAACGGCTGAAGGACTCCGATTACAAAATCAGAGTCGTAAGTTCGTCTTATTATTCAACTACTTTTGGTCAACCATTTATGTGCTGTGTATGGTGATAACATACAACTCATCGTCCGGGGTACCATGGAGCGGCTAATGACAAGATCAGTTGCCGCGGAGATATATTACTCCGGCGCTAGAGGTTCCTTTGTATTCAGGAGAACAAATATGAACCGCCTTGTACAAGGTAGGTTGAAATGCAGTAATCCATAAAAACTACCAAGGCCTCATTGGGCAACGCATGGTTGAAGCAGCCTCAGATGCTGACATTACACGGCACACCAAAACGTGGTTGCATTCTGCACGGCACAAAAGACCGCCGGTTGAGCAAACTAAAGTATGCAGTGCGAATGAGGTGAGTCCCCTGCTTCATTAGGCACATCTTTAGCCTCCTACGTTGACACTCGCGGAAGCGGATTACGAATATTGACTATGCCGCTTTCTGCTACTAACGTTCTTTGTACTGCACCCCTTCATGTATATATAGCATTCCTATGCCTCGGTTTTAATTTTCTTTCGCCTTGTGATGTCAGGTGCGCGGTAAGAGCGGTTTCCTTTTCTGACCAACTGCTTTGAGTCGCCGCCTAGGTGGGTTCCCAAGTCCAGAAACAACCACAACTGGTACCGGGTGAACACTAGGTCCGAGCCGTCCATATATTCCTTAGGCGCATAGTGCGTTCAAGTGTGTTGTCCGTATTCGGATACCCATGGGAGGCAATGACGGGATCTGGACCAACCGGATTGTCACGCATAGTGGTGAATTTCTATTGGTCAACGGTAGCATCATCTTCATTGGTTCAACGTAAACTGGACAGGAACCCTTTTTAGCCGTCTCACGGTAATACTTCCTGTCCAGTTTAGCCTAATGCTCTCATAGGAACGTTTAAGATGGTGAACTGGACAGGACCTGGACATGTGTTACCAGGGATCGTCGTTATTCTGCGAATAACACATCCTGCTTGCAAAAGCCATGCAAAGCAAGAAATCGAAACGAGATGCCGGCACAGTAACTGAAGTGCGGTAAGCAGAAAAGGGTAATTGTTAAATGGAGGTCAAAATATCGAGTACAACACACAAGTTGCAGGAAAATAACCAGAGGCTGACCGCGTACTGAGATAAATAAATAAATAAACAATTTATTCTCGAAAAAGCGAAGTACACCTCTTGGGAATGATAGGCAAGTACCCGAGGACGGGGTCGTGGTAATACAGAGAAAACCGTAATTCTGAATAATTTTGTTCAGGCGAAGTGTGAAGGACATACTTTTGTACGACACTTATAAACGATGTTCTAAATTTGACATTTGCAATTGCAACCTCATGGGTTGCACTGAAAAATGTTAATTTACCGCGGAGGAGGATGAGCGGAGCCTTCCGTTCCTGGTTCGACGGTCCGCAGAAGCAGGAACATTACCTGATATACCCGCCTGTTCTGCTCCCAACTAAACTTGAACTTGCTCATGAACGAGAGAGGGACACTTTGACACCGGTAGAGTAATTAAACGCCATGGTTGAGCTTGTATATGACGTACTGGTCTAGTTTATGTAGTACAGAGAGCAAGTCAATGATAAGTGCAGTGCGTACAGTACCATTAAAACGCTTTCAGTGAAAGATTTTCAGAGCAAGCGCTCCGCAAAATCTGCGCATTTAACAACCTAAAACGTCCTCAGCATGACTTTAGCCAGATATTACACGCTACACATAAATCTGAAATTTTATTATAAATGCTAACAATTTAGCAGGTTATATAAGGCTTCTCTGATGACGTATACGTTTGTTATTTAAGCTGTCCTAGAGTTTAGGTCACCAGATCAGTACTGCACTTACTTTACAAACCAATGTCCTACTTGTCGAAATTCGATTGCAAATCGGCTCGCGTTAAAGGTAATCACGTTATATACTGACGGCATTGCGTGTTTAATGTTTACCCTTGTGCAACATTTAGTGTGATTTGCTATTATGCCTCATCTTTGTAACGGTTTGTTCTTTCACCTTGAATACTCGTATATTGGAAAGCAGATGGGATAACCGTTGTAAACTACATCAATTCTAAATCAGTGAGAGGATAATGCGTTTCATGGTGAAAGGGCGTCACATAGTGAGTACAGTTTAGGTCCCAAGGGCAATACAGGCCTCCGCCTAACGAGCGTCCTGTTTCTTGCACCGGTAAGCGGACAAAAGCCCCGGGTACTTCGACTTTGATTTACTTTTGCTGCTTCTATAATAGATTTGTCAAAAACAATAGCACTCTGTACCCTCACACAGTACTAAGTTACACCGACATGATACAATAAAATTGCAATACTTCTAAAAACTTCATACCAACACCTATCTAGGCCACTTTTAAAGGCCTCTAGAGTGGTGTTTTCTCTTAATGCTGGGGGTATCTAATTCCAGCTATTGACTACACGATCCAACAAAATTTCCCTCTGATATCCAGCGGATAACAACGCCCTCTTGAGCTTTCTGTTTCACTGAAGTCTTTAGTGAGGGACAACGAATCAAAATCGTTTTCTGAAAAATCACGTCAAATATTTAGACTATATCTTCTAGGGCGTCCAAATGCTTGTGCTAAAGGTGTCACATCGTTCAAAAGCTGTACATTGCTCTGAATGTGACGGGTGGATGTATATCACTTGTTGTGACATCGGTCCTGAGAATTGCAAATCCACACAGCTGAAGAATTCTCCAGCTGTTGTTTTCCTTCGTAACATCTGCCTTACCTTGTTAAACAACAGGCGTCTTGTAAATGGACTCTTCTTGCTCAGCTCACCCCATTCCAACGAATCCCGGAGAATCCGCCATCCAGGACCCCCTGGTTCATTTTCATTTTCCCCCTTCTGTCTCCGCCTCAACCTCACCCACAGTTAAGCGAAGCCGCGTGCCGGCTGAACTATTCGGAGCCATTGGGATACATTCACCACAATGAGCCCAAGACCAAGACATACGCTGCGGTCGTAAAGGAAATAACCACCGCTTCTGGGATACAGATCCCCATCTGTGTATAACGCTAAGACTAAGCCTAAGTCTTAATCCAAGCCTTCGTCCTCTTAGTCCCAGATTAAATCTGTTCTTGACAAGATCAACTAGTTAGAAACGCTGATCAAAGACAGCGCAAATCCTCCCCAAACACAATTCCTAGGCGTGCCCAACCGCCCCCCCCCCCCCGTGACCGATGCCTCGTCATCATTAACGCACCGGAAGGATGTCAGATGACCAAGAGTTCCTTGAACGGCTGATCTCTGCTTGATTCTGCGAAAGCGTACAGGGAATCAGCATTATCTCGGCCTTCTGTTTGGGTAAGAAACAAGAAGATTCCCTTAAGGCTCGCCCCCTTAAGCTTGTGTGATAAGACGAGGAGGAATGTCAGCGCATTCTCCGACGGACCCCACGTTTCAGAGGCAAGCCGTTTTATTTGCTGAGAGATCTCACCCCGGAGGATCGGATCAAAATGAAAAAAGCCGTTGAAGTGCTGAGAACCCATCGGGCGTGTGATGAAACAGACCATCATATCTTGGATTTTTGCATAAGAAAACCCCGAGAACCTGTTGGAGGCCGATTCTCGTCACCCCAGGATAGTAACATATAAGAACGGACTGCGTGTGCTGTTCGCCAGTGTAAGCAGTCTGTGAAGTAATCTTCATGAAATCCAGATGGTCGCCGCCGATGTCTGTCCTGACTTAATGTCTTTCACCGAAGCATGGTTATTCCCAGACATCATTGACTCTGAAGTGTCCACCCCTGGATACCACCTTTTTCGCTTCAGTCGTCACGGGGTGAAGTCAGGAGCCGGCGTAATTACTGGAGGGCGGGTCTGAGGGCCCATCTAGTTCAGGTCTCCTGTGTCCATGACGGTGGTTCCAACGCCTTTTGGTGCTACATTCATGACGGATGCAGATATTCATTGATTTTTGTCATCTACAGAACGCCACTGGGCGCTGGAGCTCGCCTGTTGAAATTGATCAGGAAGCGCGATTCAGAAAAGGACTGCCTCATCGTGGGAGCTTTCAATGCTCTTACTATCGAATGCGACCTCTTCAATCGTCCACCCGATTCCTTTGATGCACCCTTCTTCGGTACCGTCCTCGATTGCAGTCTGTATCAACATGTCCATGCCGACCCGTATTCTCGCATGCCACTTTCATCATCGTTGGTCTTTTGCTCTCCCCAGCGCAATCAGACGTCATGGGCCGAACAGCCCTTCAACCCTTTGGTAGAAGCGATCATTGTACGGTGTTATTCCACTAGACACGTCGCTTTACCCTTCACAACCCATGTGCGCCGAAATTTGGGGCGTGCTGATGCTCTTCGTCCTAAAACGGCTGCAATTATTATGGATTGGGGTGTTCCCGAACATCTCAATGGTGACGCTGCCTGGAATCTTCTCTATTCTAAGCTGACGTCACTTATTAAATAAGTCCCTATCTCCAAAAAGCGATCACTCTTTAGAGGTCCTCCGTAGATTGACCGTGAATTGAGATCCCTGATGAACAGAAGATGGAAGTTGTATGACCACTTCAGGCTCATACGATCAAAGCATGACTGCCACGATTACAACATGGTTAGGAATACCTGTACCACGAAAAAGTGAGAATCGTCTACAATACGAACTCTCCCTAACCACACTCTAGAACGACTCCCAAGACACTCTTCTACCTCAAAATTAGCACCAGAGTGGGCAATGATATCCCTGCCCTGTGTTCCTGTGAGCATGGGGATCCACGAAGACGCCCACAAAGCCTGCATGCTGATGCTGCAATATTCTTCAGTCTGCTCGACAGCAGTGTCCTCCTTAGTTCTGTTTGCACTCTCCCTTCTCTGTTAGAGCACGTCGATATTAACACTGACGTCATGTTGAAACCTCTGATTTGGGTCCTTGCTCATCATCTGCTCCTGATGGTTTGCACCCTTTGTTCCTCAAGACGGGCCCAGTACATTGCCCCACTTATCTCGCAGGTCTTCTGTCAATCGTTTCAGTCCTGACCTCCCGACCGCTTGGAAGATGGTCATCATCAAACCCATATACAAAGGAGGGAACCGGAAATATTCAGCTAACTACCGGCCCATTAGCCTTACATCGATAGTGTGCAAAATCATGCAACGGGTCCTGAAACGGTCACTTCGCCTTCATCTTGAAAGGTTGGATCTGATATCCTATTCCCAGCATGGTTTCGCAAGGCTTGCTCCTGCACTACCAACTTGCTTGTGACTAAAGAGAAATGGGCGAACTCATTGGATGTTAGTAAACGCCTTGTTGTTATGTTTGTGGATCTCACTAAGGCTTTTGATAAGGTCCCTCATGAACAGCTTCACTTCAAACTCCGAGGAATCGGCGTCGCTGGGAACTTTATCTCGTGGATTTCCTATTTCCTGTATGGTTGCTCCATGCTGGTGAAAGTGAACGAAACGTTTCCTGATTCTGTACATATGACCAGCGGTGTCCCCCAGGTCTTCGTTATGGGCTCCGACCTCTTCAACATCCTCATTAACGATCTGCCTTGTGACCTTCAATCGGATTGCTTGATTAATGCGGATGATCTGAAGATATGGACGGAGATATTCTCTTTAGAGTATGTTGATGGTCTACAGGAGACGCCCGATCTCCTGCACACTTAGTCGATTCCATGGCGTTTATCCATTAATCAAGCAGTGTACCGTCCTGTCTGTTGGCCCTCCTGAACCATTCGACGCTTACCACATAAGTTTTTTCTTGCTTAAGAATGTCACTTCAGAGATAGATCTTGGCATAATTGTGTCCCCAGATTTAAAATCCCCTCAGGACACCGTGAAGAGGGTCGTCGCTGCCTACAGGATCTCTCGCGCTATCCGAAGAGCTTTCTGCCGCTTGACGCCGGAGCTCTAGACTCCTGTTCACCTCGCATGTGCGCTCGATTCCTTTTTTCCTTCTGCCTACCCGATTACCAAATTTGAGCTTGACATAGTTGACAAGATCCAGCGGCGTGTGTCGATGTTCGTGTCTGCGACACATGACCTGCCCTATCGCCTTCCACTTCGACATATGCATTTGTTTTCTGTGGATTACCGTCACCGTCCTGGGGATTTACTTTTTACCCGACGTATCTCCAAGGGAGAGCTGGGGAGAGAATTGCAGGAATTCTTCCACCTCAGCTTTGGGAGTTCGACTAGAGGCTACCGATGGAAAATATTCAAACCAAGGTGGCTTAAAGTGTGGTCCATTCTTGCCTTATCTACTCGCGTGTTGAATGACTGGAATCGGTTACCGAGGCCCGTCGCTGATGCGCAGACGGAGAATTGCGTCAAAGGCTTACTTGCTACCCACCTGTTGAGTATGCCGGGATCATGTTGCTTCAGGTACGGGTGCGACGGCCTCTCTGGACTTTCTGTTTCGCTATGACGTGAGCATCCCAGCAATGATCGGGGAGCGATGGAGCTGACAAGGGATCTCCTGCTCTCTGCTACCCAATGAACAATGACCCAGACACATTTGCAAAGTGTAAATCCAAAAGCCTATCTAAACATTCATTGAGTTGTAGAGAGCAGAAAAGTGGTCCCGTGTTAGCTCTGTCACCTCTAGTTCAGCACTAGGAGCACGTATGTCCTCACGGCCCGGTAGTCTTCAGGGAACCGAAGCAGCCGCAGTAAGAGAGAACGTTCCAGGTATCTTAAGTAGCTGAGTGTCCAAGAGCCATTTGAAACTTTTCTCGGTCGGCGCATCAAATTTCTTCGGTAGACTGCTCCAATCATTCACTACTCGAGTGGAGAGAGCGGCATCGATGCGGACTTTGAGCACCCTCGGTTCGAATAGCTTCTAGTTATGACCTCTTGTCGAGCCATTTATGTTGTGCTGAAATGGCTGCTGTATCTCGTTCCCTAGTTGCCCTCTTAGTATGCGCCACGTAAAG